TTTTTTTTAGCAATAGTTTATAAGCCTCATTTTATCAGTTGACTGTTAGAAATGAACATTCTAAAGATTTACTAATTTAAAGATTTTATCTAGCTGTGTGGAAGTTTTTAAACCCTTCAATACGGCTAAAGAATTCCTTAAAACATCTCTCTTGGAAGTTTCAAAGGCATTAGCATTGAATATATTCTAGCTTTAAAATGGCTTCTGGCTGAGGAGAATGTTTCATCCCGGAACGTCTTTTTTCTAATTTAAATAAGTTGCTTTGCGGGGCGTTAAAGCTCTGCGGCCCCTAATTTTTCAGCCATTCCTTGTCGTTGGTTTCAAAGTCCTACTTCAAGCCATCTGGAGTTTACTGCAGATTAAAACTCAGTGTTGCTTCATGTAAAATGTTAGAGAACGTCTTGGGGAGGATCACGGAAACTTATTATTTTCAGGATTAAAGAGAAACAAAGCAAATCTGAGAAAAATGGCTCCTGTGTGGAGCTTCTTGTTAAACATAGAAGATTTATGTTCAGTGACTTGGTGTGGAAAAAAATATCTGGGTTATATCTATATATAAAAGGGCACATTTGGACTTAAAATCTCATTCAAAAATGTTTCAAATATCATTCCCACCACATCTCATATTACTAATTCAATTCTGTGGTGGAAATGACATTTTTGATAACATCTTTCTCTTACTAAGAGTAATTAATAGTTAACTTTTATATGATATTTTCACTTTTTTTTTCATAAACTGATTGAAAATGACACCATAAAATAAAATAAGAAATACACTAAAGTTGCAACTCATTAAGAAATATCCATCATTTAGATATAACGGGTATAACGACCTATCTGATTCTTTAATTTGGCATACTTCAATAAAAAAGACATTACTTTTTCCCGCCGTCCTCTCGCTGCGAGTCTCCTCTCATTTTTCTGCAGGGCTCTTGTTCAAGAATAGTCTGCCTGCGATTGTAAATAAGTACGTTTTAAAATTCAAAATCCCTAGACTGGGTTCTCGCTGCGTGTTTGTGTGTAAAACAGGCTGCGGGGAGTTGAGATCTATTTGAATAAACTCCCCACAGCACTGACTGAAGTGTGCTATCAGAGGTTCAGCGATGGGACAATAGCTGCATCCGGACTCCTGGTTGTTTCAGGATGGAGATGCTGTTTGGCGCTGTGGCGAGAGAAAATACCTGCTCTTTTAAATGCAACCTGCACCCAAACCTTCACCTGCTAAACAACCTGACACAGTCAGCATCTTTAAACGCAGAACTGTGTGGACTCAGTGGGTGCCTCTCTGATATGCATTAGCCTGCAGCATGAATTTGCATGTTGGTCAAGGAAGGTTCATGCTAGAAAGTACTAGTTGGGGGCTGGTCTAGCAAAAAATGTCCCGGGTTCAATACAAGTTATAATCTATCGACAACATCTATGCGTGCACTTACAATGGAAGTCCAGGCACTACATTCAAATAAACAAGTTTCAGAGGTTTCGCCACAGGACCTAAGAGTAGTGCAATGGGTGCCGTCAGTAATAATATAATAATCCACAAGTAATCCTCATGACTCCAGTCCATCAATTAACATCTTGTGAAGTGAAAAGCTGAATGTTTGGAAGAAACAAATCCATCAAGACATTTTTAACTTGCTGCTTCCAGCTAAAATACGAGTCCTCGATCCATTACATTGCTTTCTCCAGTGTGAGTCATCAAGTCTGGATCAGGAGAGAAATATGCACAGATCAAGCACCATTTACAGTCCAAAACAGCTCTAAACAAATATGTTGGTGGATTTTGATGTGAGAGGACAACAGGGGATGGACTTTTTCACTGGAGGAGTTATTATGGATTGTGGGCTCTTATTTTGGCCAGAAGTGATTTAATGACAGATTTGTTAAATATGCAGCAAGACATTAACTGATGGACTGGAGTGGTGTGGATTATGGTGATGTTTTTATCAGCTGTTTGGACTCTCATTCTGACGGCACCCATTCACTGCAGAGGATCCATTGGTGAGCAAGTGATGCAATGCTACATTTCTCTAAATCAGTTCTGATGAAGAGACAAACTCATCTACATCTTGGATGGCCTGAGGGAGAGTACATTTTCAGCTCATTTTCATTTTTGGGAAACTATTTCACATTAAACATGAGATATTATAAACAACACTTACTAACCCTGTTTGTGCAATTCAGCTCCTTTCATGACCATATAAACCCTTAACCCTATGTTACCCCTAATATTTCATCCACATATAACAGTATAATTTAAGGACAAATGAAACAACTTCAATTTTATAAAATTCACAGTAACCTCGGTGTCTGTATTTTATGAACTGAATTTCTGTCTGAAGTGGTTAAAAAAATGTAGAATATGCACTTATACAACATTAATTGCCAAAGAACAAAACAACCTTTTATATTGTATATGTATCTGAATTCACATGAAATACCTACATACCACTCCAAAAAGTATCTGTACAATTAAGAAAGCATGAATGTCACTGCCTCATATAGCAAAATATAAAACTACCATTTCGTAAAATGTTTTGCACGAAACCTTTCTTTAAAATAAATGGCTCTTGGTTTGATATTTTGTGCTGTAGAGTACAATAAAGACACTGACATTTTTTAAGCATGGCTTAAGCACACAAATATTTTTTGTAGTCAGGTAAACAACAGACTACAATATACAGAACCCACATACAGTCAAGACAGTTTTAATATAATCACAATGGTTTTGCATCTGATCTCACTTGAAGAACACACAGGAAAAACGAACACTGCATAACAGCCCTATTATTAAAATATCCATTTCTCTGTACAAAACTGGATTACAATTTCTAAGCAAATCATATCATAGCAGTGCCATACTGCCCTCTTGTGTCCTTTTATTAGCCTTGCAACTGTAGAGTTGCAATGGACAAGCTACTATAAGTTATTGGCTTTTTTGGGGGCATTTTAAAAATTGTCACCAAAGTATAAAGACGTAACATGTTTCCATTCAAAGCATTAGCTCAAAATTGATGAGATCCTTACCTGAATGCATCTCAGTAAATATGCCCAGGTCACATTTCACCCTAGAAGACAAAAAAAAAAAAAGACAAAACATATGTATTTATTATAATCAAAATGAAAGAAAATGAAGCATATTTGGAAACAATTTTGATTTTTGCATTGTGACATTTTCCTTTTTTCTTAATTTTCTTAATTTTTTTTTTTAGAAACTTTAACAAAATACAACCTTCTCAAATACCAATCTAAACAACTGATTCTATTATTATTATTATTTTCTTTTGTTTATTTCTCACAACGCAAAAAAGTGAATGGTTCTACAAACATTCTTGATTGAAAAAAAATGTATATTTATTTCTTTGGATTTTGAGAGCAGGTAAGGACAGGTTTTGTGAGATTTTGTATGATTCACCAACATTAAAATTTAGTTTTTACCAGATGAAATGAATGTTTGGTCTGACAAGGATTCTAAGCACCTTGTATAACAGCAACTAGTGATTTAATTGCACTCCACTGTACTTTGCCCATGAGCTGTGAGCAAATACAAGTTTATGCATGTGGGCCCCACATCTGTATGGTGTTATAGCCTGTGTGAGCATTTTTTTTGCACATGTCCTACTTTTTGTGACAGCAAAGATGTGATTTCTGTGTGCACTCCAGGGAGAAAAGTGAGTGGATGATGTGGCAACAGATGACATGCATCCAAATAAACAAAAACAATATGAGACGACTGACCCTTGATAGTAGCAGATTTCTTTCTCAGGAACTCATACAGAGATGCTTTGGAAGATTAGAGAAGGCTAAAGAAATGCAAACACTGATGGATGGGCAACTAAATAAATAAATGAAATGGATGAGAATCATACCTGGTTGCCATGGAGACATACCTTCTCCTCACTTCAATAACTGCTGAGCAAAGAGGATTCCAGGGTCTGCAGCGAAAGACTGGGGGAATAAAGAGGAAGAAATCCTTTTCCCTGGAACAGAAATAAAGAGAAATACACAGTCACTGCATTTCATGTATGCATAAAAATCCTTTGAAATGACATGTTAGATACATTGCTTATGCTGGAATACAGATGCCTTGTAGTCATGTGACCCTGGAGACTGAATATCAAGCAGCCTGCATTGCTATTCACATTCATTTCCATCGAAATAGCAAGGGTGAATGTTTTAAGCTTTTATAACATAAACACAAATAAAGGTCAACATTAAAGTAATATATTATTACATTTGCAATAACATTTTTTCAATAATTATCAAGTTGAGGCACGTTTTAGGGTAAAAGTCAGCTAAAAACAATACGTTGTGGGTCTTAAACCTTTCTAAACCCCTGCTTTTCTATGCTCTTAAACCACATATTAATTTACGCAAACTTAATCTCAGAGAGAGAGAACAAAATGAAACAACCACAAACTAAGATCATTTCTGAGCCATAAAAATAAGTCAAAAATAGTCAAATATCCAAACATTTACATGATTTCTCATTAAAATAACAATGAACATTAACATACTTATCATAAAAATTTAAATGATGAAATGTGATATAAGGGTTCAACAATATCAGGCCTGTTTTCTGTTAGCATTACTATGTTTTGCTATCATTATATTTGCAGTAATAATCTACTTAAAATCCCATTTTAGGCCAGTATCCAGCAACAATGAATACGTTGGGGGTTTCAAACCTTCTGCTGTTCGCTCTCCATTATTTAAAGCGCATATTCATTTATATAAACTTAATTTCAAACGAAAAAACAACACAAAGTTGTTCTACACTTAAACTGGGACATCTTGCATATCGTTAGGGCCTCGTTTTGTTTCTGAGCCATGCTGTTCAACCTATCCGCAAACGAGGGGGAGGGTAATTGCTTTGGAGACCCTAAGTTTGATCGACAGCCGCGAAACCCAATCCCAAATCAAACATTCGTTCAAACAGACCAATAGCGTCGCTCTCTGGGCAAATCCAGCCGAGCGGGCGGAGCTTAAACACAAACGCCCGCCCACCATCCAATCGTTAGGTTGCGCGAAGGCTGCAGTTTCAGTTTGTTTTATTCACCATTTTGAGTAGCTGAAGGTACAATTTAAGCTAAATACTTTCGTAGAGCAGGAGTATTTCCCGCATTGTTTCATTTTTAGCACAGGGAGAGGGCGTTGGTTTTGCGACGTCACCTTTAGCCCTCTTGTGTTTTAAAATACCACATTTCGTCTCCATTTTCCGTGCTTTTCTTTTGCTCTTTCACAATTGTAACCTCTACAGTATTCCTGCAAAATGGCAAGACCAGTGAGGTACGTGGGTTTCCATTCGTCCTGCTGATGGCTGCTGCATGCACACCGAGTCCTGGGCTTCACGCATGTGCCAGGCATCCTTAGCTTCTTGTTTAGAGCTCGATTTTGTAACGTTTTTGCTCATTCGTGCATGCATTTTGCTCGTTGTCTCTTTCCCAGTGGCGGAGGACTGTCTCTTTTATATTTCTGGCTAGATCTTGCGCGTTTCTAATGTGCATCAACCAGGATTCTGCGATCTGATGTTCCTTGTGCATCACCTACCTACATTTCAGAATATATTTGTTGTGTGAGAAGCACTCAAAGGCTTCGTGTTTCCTTGTACGTTAAGCCAGTGAGAATATGGCTTCCCATTCATCCCCGCCAAAGCTTCAGGAGGGGTAATAAAATCCCACTGAAGGTGCTCATTGGCTCACTCAAGTGATTTTGTAACCTGCTATGCGCACATATTTGCGCAAATATCTCAGTGATGCAGAAACAATAGGTTGCGAAAGCCAGTTGGTGTTTTTGGGCAGGGAAGCGCGTTTTGAGGGATTTTTTTTGATAGCGGTAAATTAACACGACGCGGGTGACGTCAGAGGGGGGCGGGGCGGCCAAGAGCGACCCTCCCCCCCTCCGGAATTATGAGGAAAATGTGCACAAAATTTGATATTCATTCAACACATTTGACTTCAAATGTCAACAGCAGATTAGTGTATATGGCTATGTGTTATTTTTATCTACAAAAGATGAAAAATATCGCACGGGCATTCATCATGTATCGACTATAAAATGGTCCCGCGCTGCCCTCCCAAACATCCACAACGGTAACCATAGGCGAAAGATACTGTTTTTACAATAAAACTTGTATAAGCACTATTATTAAAACATAAATTAAGACAGATTCTGAAAAGAGTCTGACGGTACTAACTATTGTTCCTAATAAACGTAAATGAGACATTTCCGCCGAATTGGTTTCGCAAGCTTAATTATTATTTTAGATGAAAAGGAAATAGTGAATGACAAGATTCCTGCTCAATTTTCAGATTTTACCGTTTAAAATGTATTGTATTCTGTATAATATCATGTGCTCTCTGAAATTATAAGTGTGCTGTGAAAAATAGGAGAGAATACTATTTCGGTCTCAATACTTAAAAATTGTGTTACTTGCCATTTCTTTGTAATTATTTATAACATTTACTAGCAGTTTCTGAGTACAAAGTATTTCTGCACTATTTTCTTTTGTAAATTACACATTTAATACAATATGTTACTTGCCATTTCTTTGTAATTAGTCTATTTGTAA